TAATAATGTATGAATTTCCATTCTATACTGTTTTCATTAAACACTTCTATTACAACTCTTTTCTTTTAAATTGAGAATTTTTTCTCAAATTGAAAAACCCCTCACTTCATTGACCAATTGTTGTATTCTATCGCACAATCCCTTTAAATTCATGATGAAACAACTTATTGTAGGAAACTAAAAACCTATATATTTAAATTTCCATAATAACTCAATTTCCTTTCCTTTAAATTGTTTTGCTACAATTTACATCCAAATTGTTTTAAATTGTCCAATTTTTCTAAAGTTATCAATACGTTTTTTAAATCTCTACATTTTCTGCAATATCATTTGCGTAGAGTTATGTCAATATTTTGAATCCAAAGCTTATTGGAGAAGGACCTAATGCGATAGTACATCAAACATTCTTTTTCCTAAAAGATTTGTCTAGATTGTCAATAAATATATTAAAGATGATTTAGCCTAAGGGGAAACCCTACCATACTACATTATTTCAAAAAAATTTTAAAAATATGAATAAATAATAATAATAATAGTAATAGAATAGTGACTTTTGAAAAGAACTCAACTTTGAGAACCGTTAGTACCATTTTTCATAATAAATGCTTGCAAAAATTACAAACGATCTTCATAGTTGAGCCCCTTTTGAAATTCCCAACTATCTTTTTGTACATATATACATATTACAAAAAATAATCTTCTATATAGACGATACCATGTACCTGGATTTTAATGAATTCAACGACAAGAGACGCCTATACTAAATCCTTTCAAGAATTAAAAAATCAATTTCCTGAACTCCAAATCCATAAAGCAATCACTTCCAATGACGAGAATTTAAAAAGAGCAATACAACAAATTTTTCCTGAATCTGAAGTATCCCTGAGTCTTCACCATTATATATTACAGCTGTTTCGGAAAATGAAAACTTTTGAATTAGTCGGATATTTTAGAAACGACGATAATGACATCAAGAAAACTTTATTTTTTATTTTGGCACTGCCATTATTACCGGCTCGACTAATTCCAGAGGCTTTTAACAGAATAAGAATTTATGTTAATTAAAATATATATACAGACATTCAACGTTTCATGACCTACTTTGAAACAGACTGATTGCAAGAACCCAATACCTTTTCAGTATTCCAAAAATTTGTACGAATAACGGATAATTTTCAAATGTTTATACAGACCACGAGCGTATTGTGGGCAGTCAATTAGAAAAAGGAGTCAAATCCCCAAAAATTTCTTCAATTACGAAATCGAAAAAATTAAAAAGTCATTGGATTGATTTAATTGATCGACGCCTCCCGTTCATAAAATCCTAACATATATATCAAAGATTGCACAATTTTTATTTTTTTTTTTTTTTGTAAAAATTGGATTACACTTGTACTTTAATTAGAATTTTCTTGCTTTGACATTTATATTAGCATTTTATGAACGAGAGGCGTAATGATGAAAAAATCACAGTCTTAGAATTTTTACAATTGATGAGTCACAATGTTGTCAAGAAAAGGATTGAATTCATTAAATTTTATTGTTTATGTATTCTTTTTAATTTATAGATGTCTCTAATGTTATTTTAATTTTACTTTCTTACTTCTTTCATAAGAAAATTAAAACACAATTGACAAATATCGCAATAAGCAGGGTTAAAATCAAAAAATCATAAAAATTTAATTAAAAATTTACAAAGGTCACGATTATACTTTACTTGCATACACATAAAATTTTTTAGTAACGTTTATTACTGAGAAAAACAAAAAATGCTTTTATTTCTATTATTTTTACACGTATAAATAAAAATGACATTCCTCTAAATGTTACCAACTTACGTGAATACGTCGAAATTGCTAGCAGTGATGAATAGAGTCACAAGAGACAATATTTAGAAAACTCATTATCTTTTACCCTAGTAGAGGAAACAAATGATGTTGTAACATCGGCAATAATAGTTGACAGAGATTTTTTTTATACTTTAAGGGTACGGTCACACTATCTCATACATGCACTGTGCATGCATGCAGAAACATTTGGGCGGTCACTCTTTAACGAAATTTAGTGAATGTTTAGTAACTTTCTAATAATTTTCCAAAAATTTATGTTGCAACTAGAAAGTTACTAAACATTTACTAGATTTTGTTGAAGTATGACCGGCTAAATGTTTCTGTATGCATGCACAGTGCATGCATGAGATATTATGACCGTACCGTAACTCAAACTCATGTTTTTCTTATTGAAATATCGTCACAAACTATTCCTCCAGGATTTGGCTGCATTTAATTAATGTCTCTATTATGACAGTTTTTGGAGAAAGGGTTGTTAGGTTAAAAAATATTAATTTTTTTTTTAAATGATTTTTTTTTAGTTATCAAAAGAATAATCGCTGACAATAACATGCTACAGTTTTTCAAAAAATTTTATAGCTTTTGCGTAAATTGCAATTGAAAATTTAAAAATTATGCGTGGTGATTGGCCGCGCGAGCTCAGTGGGCCGCTGGGCTGGGCATAGCGCACCGGAACTTGTCTGATTTTCCAAGCGTGGGCATGTAGAGTTTACCCGATTACTTAAAATAATCCTCAGAATAATACATACATTATGTATTTTTCTAAGGAAAAAAAGATTAGTTAAATTATACCTCTGAAAAATACATAACGTATGTATTTTTCAGAGGATTATTTCAAGAAATCGGGTAAACTCTACATGCCCACGCTTGAAAAATCAGAAAATTTCCGACGCGCTATGCCCCTCCCAGCGGCCCACTGAGCTCGCGCGGCCAATTACCACGCGTAATTTTTAAATTTTCAATTGCAATTTACGCAAAAAATTTTGAAAAAGTGTAAAAAACTTTATGTCTTATTTTTTTCCGAAGAATATGTACCTTTAATATGTACATCCATGAATGGGACACCCTATATAATTGCGACGATAAGTTGTTTGACTTTTATACTAAAAGTAAAATTCGCAAATCCTCAGACCGAAACTTTTTTTCTGTATAAAATTTGATTAATTAATTTCATTAAATTTGATTTACGTAAAATTAATTTTAAGGTATAATCGAGTTACAGATTCATATTTTGCAAAAAAAAAAAAATTTTCAATCAATTTCTATATGAAATTAAATTTGTTGGATATAAAGAAGAAAAACACATAGTCACTTATGTATTTTTACATTACCTTCTCAATTGTTTCATGATGAAATTGAAACAAAATTGGTAAATAGTACATATGTGACGCGTCGCCAAGAAAGGGACCTAAGCGTCCAGGAGTTTCAGGTTATGTTTGCCATATTTAAAAAGAAAATGTACAAATTGGATCAATTTTCAATATTAACCATTAATGCTTATCTCTTCATTATATCGAAAATATATATTAAAAACTGCTTTTACTGTTACACAATTAAAAATAAAAGATTTAATCAATATGAAACTGACACAAACTTAACATAAAATTCTTGGACGCTTAGGTCCCTTTCTTGGCGACGTGTCACATATAACGAAATCCTGAATGTAAACTCTAAAAATCTTAATATGTCAATTTAAAATTTATAAAAAGCGCGGTTATACTTCACTTGCATACCTATGATATTTATAATAACGTTTATTAGTGAGAAAAACTGAGAATGCTCTTGTTTTTCTTACTTTTTCACGTTAATATGACGATCATTGGAATGCAAGTGAAGTATAACCGCTCTCTTAATTTTTTTACAGTCACCCAAGAGCATTACAAGGAATGCCACTGCGCAGAATGAGGTCAACGATGTATAGATGGGATAAAAATGACATTCCTCCAAATGTTATCAACTTACGTGAATACGTCGAAATTATTAGCAGTGATGAATGGAGTCACAAAAGACAATATTTAGGAAACTCATTATCTTTTACCCTAGTACAGGAAAATGATGTAGTATCATCAGCAATAATAATTGACAGAGATTTTTTTAATACTTTAACGCAAAGTCATGTTTTTCTTATTGACATATCGTCACAAACTATTCCTGCAGGAATTGGCTGCGTTCAATTAATGTCTCTATTGTGTTTAAAAAATAATCATGCAAGTATAATATGAAACTTTCAAAGTAGCATAAAATAGAATTAATTCACTTGTTCTTCTTATTTGTAATATATTTTACATCGAATAATGCCTTTGTCATTAAAGTTTAAGCTTTAATATTGTAAAATTAAACTAAATTAAAACACAGTAAACAATATAATATACAAAAAAATATTATTTAAACTTTAATAATATATGAATTTCCATTCTATACTGTTTTCATTAAACACTTCTATTACAACTCTTTTCTTTTAAATTGAGAATTTTTTCTCAAATTAAAAACCCCTCACTTCATTGACCAATTGTTGTATTCTATCGCACAATCCCTTTAAATTCATGATGAAACAACTTATTGTAGGAAACTAAAAACCTATATATTTAAATTTCCATAATAACTCAATTTCCTTTCCTTTAAATTGTTTTGCTACAATTTACATCCAAATTGTTTTAAATTGTCCAATTTTTCTAAAGTTATCAATACGTTTTTTAAATCTCTACATTTTCTGCAATATCATTTGCGTAGAGTTATGTCAATATTTTGAATCCAAAGCTTATTGGAAAAGGACCTAATGCGATAGTACATCAAACATTCTTTTTCCTAAAAGATTTGTCTAGATTGTCAATAAATATATTAAAGATGATTTAGCCTAAGAGGAAACCCTACCATGCTACATTATTTCAAAAAAATTTTAAAAATATAAATAAATAATAATAATAATAGTAATAGAATAGTGACTTTTGAAAAGAACTCAACTTTGAGAACCGTTAGTTCCATTTTTCATAATAAATGCTTGCAAAAATTACAAACGATCTTCATAGTTGAGCCCCTTTTGAAATTCCCAACTATCTTTTTGTACATATATACATATTACAAAAAATAATCTTCCATATAGACGATACCATGTACCTGGATTTTAATGAATTCAACGACAAGAGACGCCTATACTAAATCCTTTCAAGAATTAAAAAATCAATTTCCTGAACTCCAAATCCATAAAGCAATCACTTCCAATGACGAGAATTTAAAAAGAGCAATACAACAAATTTTCCCTGAGTCTTCACCATTATATATTACAGCTGTTTCGGAAAATGAAAACTTTTGAATTAGTCGGATATTTTAGAAACGACGATAATGACATCAAGAATACTTTATTTTTTATTTTGGCACTGCCATTATTACCGGCTCGACTAATTCCAGAGGCTTTTAACAGAATAAGAGATAATGCCAATTTAAATGTACATCCTAACCTCGAACGTTTTCTCACTTACTTTGAAAGAAACTGGTTGCAAGAACCCAATACATTTTCAGTATTCCAAGAAACTGTACGTATAACGGACAATTTTCAAACGTACGCAAGCAGATTGAAATCAAACGTCGGTGAAGAAATCGAAGTTTGGAAGTTCACAAGTAAGTGAAAAATGAAAAATTTAACTCTTTTTGAATCACTTTCCCACTTTTCGTACTTATCTACTAAAAGTCTCTATTTGATATTTTTATTAAGTTTTATTACTGTTTGGCTACTTTTTTCAGCATTGTTTTACTAAAAGCATTTTTTAATCTTAGGACTTGTTTTTTTTGAAATTCCTAAAGTTTATTTTTTATTATTATGCAAACCCAAGCAGCACGGAATATTGTTTGAATGTCACGGTGATATGAAGCTAGAATATTTCTATGACATTCGTATGATAGTTAAGAAATATTTTATTTTTTAAAAAGTTTAATTCTTTTTGTTTCTAAATTTTAGAATTGATGGTTGCTTTGCAGTCCCGCATTTACACAGATCACGAGCGTATTGTAGGTGGTCAATTAGGAAAAGGAGTCAAATCATCCAAAATTTATTCAAAAACAAAATTGAAAGAATTAAAAACCTATTGGGCTGATTTAGCTGATGAAAAAATCACAATTTTAGAATTTTTACAATTGATGAGTTATAATATAATTGAAAAAAGGATTGAATTCTTGAAATTTTATTGTCGTACAGAAGAAAATGAATATTTTTTAGAACAAGAAGTAGAAGAAGAAGAAGAAGAAGAAGAAGAAGAAGAAGGAGGAGGAGGAGGAGGAGGAGAGGAAGAAGTAGAAGTAGAAGAAATTGTTGAAATTGAAAATGAACTTGAAGAAGGTTCGTATTTTTCGTAAATCGTACACCCCAAGTCGAATGTACGTATAAGTGAAAATATTTTAGAAGTTAAGTAAATTAAGTGTTTTGTTTAAAATGTACTTAATTTGTGAGATTTTTTCGGAAATTATTAACGTTTATGAGCAGTACAGAATGTACGTATCTCGTATACTCCGGATCAACACTACTTAAGTTTGATGTTACGTTTAAAACTTGCCTGTGGCAGTTTACATGTTTTTTCAGCAAACGAAATACAACATTAAAACGTTATTAAATATAGAAACATTTTATCAAAAATGGAAGTGATATATTTGAGAGATTAATGAATACCTTATTCTTATTTTCAATTTTTTTCAAAACTCAGAAAAGTTGACTTAAGTGATTTCAAAAAGTTACCTCAAACTTAAGTAGTTTTGGTTTAAAGTATGTGAGATACGTATATTCTGTACTGTTTATAAAAGTTAGTTAATTAACAAAAAAATTTTCATTTATACCTGCTTTCGACTTGGGGTGAATGAAATGTGTATTTTGCCAATTGGGGCGTTCCATAACATGGAGCACTAACGAAAAATACATTACCGTCGGAAAATTTCGGTACAGCTGACGTGCGAAAAGTAGAAATTTATTGCTGACTTTAAAGCAAGATATTTTAAGTTAGAAAAAAGTTATAGACTTCTCATTTACATGGTTGGAAAGCTGATAAAATTTTGCATCTGAATGTGAGGCATTCTATTTCAAACCGTACCACCTACAAATGACTATAGGGGGTAGAGCACTTTTCATACCTAATTTATTTTATTTAAAAGTCTTTAAATATAAAATGTAAATAATGCTTTTAATAGAGAATTTTTCAAGCTTTAAGATGGTGTAAGGCTTTATTTTTAAAAAAATTTACTTCTTGGTTTAATTTGCATTTAAAAACTTTCAGAGTTAATTTCTCAAAATATGTCATTTTCAATTTTGATAAAATTTGTCTCAAAAGAAAAATTAAATTCTCTAGTTTCTACCATCCAAAGATTATAATGGGCTTTTCAGTGGATCCAGGGAAAAAAAATAAAATGTAAATTCACTTTTTACTGAATTTTGCGTAGAAAACGTAACCCTCTTGAATTTCACGTCAGAGTCAAAATCATTTGTTATTTTTTTTAATTCTGTTAAAAAGATCACTTTGTCAAAATTGTAAAGCAAAAATATAATTTAAAAATATATCTTTATTAGTTAAATTGTTATGTATCTTTTATTATATATAATTATGTTAGTAATATAAATAATATCAAATTAATTACCATTTTGAATTTTATTGTAAAATGAAAGTAACAATTTTTTAATTTAAGATTTCTTCGAGGTTAAAATAAATTTACCTTTTTAACAATATTATTTAAAAAAAAAAACAAATGATTTTGACTATGACGTGAAATTCAAGGGGGTTACGTTTTCTACGCAAAATTCAGTAAAAAGTGAATTTAAATTTTATTTTTTTTCCCTGGATCCACTGAAAAGCCCATTATAATCTTTGGATGGTAGAAACTAGAGAATTTAATTTTTCTTTTTAGACAAATTTTATCAAAATTGAAAATGACATATTTTGAGAAATTAACTCTGAAAGTTTTTAAATGCAAATTAAACCAAGAAGTAAATTTTTTTAAAAATAAAGCCTTACACCATCTTAAAGCTTGAAAAATTCTCTATTAAAAGCATTATTTACATTTTATATTTAAAGACTTTTAAATAAAATAAATTAGGTATGAAAAGTGCTCTACCCCCTATAGTCATTTGTAGGTGGTACGGTTTGAAATAGAATGCCTCATGTATATCGAGAAAATTTATTACTTTTTTTTTTATATTTATAACACTGAAAAGATTTCAAAAAAAATTATGCAATTTTCCTACTTTCGTACTAATGTTATATACATTCAGACGCAGCATTTTATCAACTTTCCAACCATCTAAACTAGAAGTCTCTAACTTTTTTCTAACTTAAAATATCTTGTTTTAAAATCAGCAGCAAGTTTCTACTCCTCGCACATCAGCCGTACCGACAATTTTCTGTTGGTAGTGTAGGTTTTGTTTTTAATTGGTGATTTTATTGTGTTTGGGGTGTAAAATCCAAGAATTTTTATTTTTCAAACTATTGATTGAAGAAATAAACTTTGTAATTAAAAAATTATAGGGAAAACATTGAAATTTGATAGCCTTTCGGCTGATGATGAAATGTTTAAAATAAAAATAAGCAATATTGTTAAAAATATTACACAAGAAGACGTAAATAGTGATGAACATTTATAATTTTCAAGTTATAATTGGTTTGTATTGGTGACTTGAGTAATCTGTTGGCACTGCTGAGCAAACTGCGCCAATAGGGTGTTGCAGTAAAAATTAAAAAAAAAATAAAAGAAATTCTCGAAGAATTTTTTTTGATTAGACACTTGTTTTCTCCAATCAACAGTTTGAAAGATAAAAATTCTTTATAAAAAGTGAAAAAATTGTTTCATTACTAATATCTTGCAAATCATTAAAAATTTTGCAAAACATTTTGGAATACTTACTTTGCACCCCAAACACAACAAAATCACGAATTATAAATAAATAAATTTTTTTGTCAGTGCTCCATCAAATGGAACGCCCCAATTTGTAAAAATTTCTATAAATCATAAACCTAACAAAAAACATCTTCGATGCAATAAATTTTGCCAAATAAATATTATCTTTAACGGACAAACCATTATATTTCGAATAAAGTCGTTGCTGACTAATTTTTTAAAATTATGATACTTTGCAGGAATGATTTTGAAGTTATCAAAAACACAAAATGAAAAGGATTTTATTAAAAATTTAATTATTTATTGTAAAATATAAATTTAAAGTATATGAGGTGCTGAAAAATGTCAACTTTTTAGCCATTACAAAATATGCAAATAAAAAACATAGAATATATCATAAAAAGAAAAAAAAAATTATTGGAATTTACTAAGAATGAATAAATTTATCATTATAAATTTATATAATTATTTAAAGATGTGAAATAATATATAAAATATGATTTTCAAGTGCACCCGTTAAATAACCTAATTTTGCGATTTTTATTCATTAATTATAAAAAATAGGAAACATTAAATTAAATAAAAACTTACCAAATATGAAGTTCTTGACATAAACTTTTATAATTTCTTTGCACTTTTCTTCTCTTTTCTTTATAAGTATAAAAAATTTTAAAAATAAAAAAGTCACTTTGTTCATTTTTACTATTTTAAAAATTTTTTATACTTATAAAGAAAAGAGAAGAAAAGTGCAAAGAAATTATAAAAGTTTATGGCAAGAACTTCATATGTGGTAAGTTTTTATTTAATTTAATGTTTCCTGTTTTTTATAATTAATGAATAAAAATCGCAAAATTAGGTTATTTAACGGGTGCACTTGAAAATTATATTTTATATATTATTTCACATCTTTAAATAATTATATAAATTTATAATGATAAATTTATTCATTCTTAGTAAATTGCAATAATTTTTTTTTCTTTTTATGATAAATTCTATGTTTTTTATTTGCATATTTTGTAATGGCTAAAAAGTTGACAGTTTTCAGCACCTCATATACTTTAAATTTATATTTTACAATAAATAATTAAATTTTTAATAAAATCCTTTTCATTTTGTGTTTTTGATAACTTCAAACTCATTCCTGCAAAGGAAAATTAAAATGAAAAATATTTATTTAAAACTTGCGTCAAAAGGTTGAACATCCTTAAATTTGTTTCAGGAATTAACATCGTGCAAGTGCCACCCGAAAATATAAATATTGCCGAACCGGAAAATATGAACCAAGGAGCAGAAAATTTAAGAATTGGAAGTCCCATATGCTGCGTTTGTAAAGTAAATCAATCGACACACACTTTCGTCCCCTGTGGACATGTTTGTGTGTGTGATGACTGTAAAACAGATTATGAAGAAAACAATATAGAAAATCGTAGTCTTCAATTATGCCCCTTGTGCAGAATAGAGTACATAATGATTATGAGAATATATTAAATATATTTTTACTTGCGGCTACACAAAAACTTTTTAACCTTCAAAGCAGGGTGCCCTTTATATTTATTATTTTTTTTCAAGAATTTTTATTTTTCAAACTATTAATTGGAGAAAAAAACTTTGTCATTAAAAAATTATAGGGAAAACATTGAAATTTGATAGCCTTTCGCCTGATACGGAAATGTTTATAAAAATAAACAATATTAATGAAAATATTGCACAAGAATACATAAATAGTGATGTACATTTATAATTTTCAAGTAATAATTGGTTTGTATTGGTGATTTGAGTCAATCGATAGTATGATATTTAAAAATTCTTGAAAAAAAGTGACAAAATTCTTTATTTGCAAATATCTTGAAAATAATTGTAAATTTTGCAAAACATTTTGAAATACTTACTAATATGTAAAATGAAAGTCAAATTGTACAAAACTAAATCTTTTAAAATTGATTAAAATAAGTATTAAATATATTTTTTGTTCTGTATAAATTGAAATGAAAAATATTTAATTTAAATTTACGTCAAAAAGGTTGAACATCCTTAAATTAATTATAGAAATTAATATTGTGCAAGTGCCACCCGAAAATATAAATATTGCCGAACCGTAAAATATGAACCAAGGAGCAGAAAATTTAAGAATTGGAAGTCTCATATGCTGCGTTTGTAAAGTAAATCAATCGACACACACTTTCGTCCCCTGTGGACATGTTTGTGTGTGTGATGACTGTGAAACAGATTATGAAGAAAACAATATAGAAAATCGTAGTCTTCAAGTATGCCCCTTGTGCAGAATAGAGTACATAATGATTATGAGAATATATTAAATATATTTTTACTTGCGGCTACACAAAAATTTTTTAACCTTCAAAGCAGGGTGCCCTTTATATTTATTATTTTTTTTCAAGAATTTTTATTTTTCAAACTATTAATTGGAGAAAAAAACTTTGTCATTAAAAAATTATAGGGAAAACATTGAAATTTGATAGCCTTTCGCCTGATACGGAAATGTTTATAAAAATAAACAATATTAATGAAAATATTGCACAAGAATACATAAATAGTGATGTACATTTATAATTTTCAAGTAATAATTGGTTTGTATTGGTGATTTGAGTCAATCGATAGTATGATATTTAAAAATTCTTGAAAAAAAGTGACAAAATTCTTTATTTGCAAATATCTTGAAAATAATTGTAAATTTTGCAAAACATTTTGAAATACTTACTAATATGTAAAATGAAAGTCAAATTGTACAAAACTAAATCTTTTAAAATTGATTAAAATAAGTATTAAATATATTTTTTGTTCTGTATAAATTGAAATGAAAAATATTTAATTTAAATTTACGTCAAAAAGGTTGAACATCCTTAAATTAATTATAGAAATTAATATTGTGCAAGTGCCACCCGAAAATATAAATATTGCCGAACCGTAAAATATGAACCAAGGAGCAGAAAATTTAAGAATTGGAAGTCTCATATGCTGCGTTTGTAAAGTAAATCAATCGACACACACTTTCGTCCCCTGTGGACATGTTTGTGTGTGTGATGACTGTGAAACAGATTATGAAGAAAACAATATAGAAAATCGTAGTCTTCAAGTATGCCCCTTGTGCAGAATAGAGTACATAATGATTATGAGAATATATTAAATATATTTTTACTTGCGGCTACACAAAAATTTTTTAACCTTCAAAGCAGGGTGCCCTTTATATTTATTATTTTTTTTCAAGAATTTTTATTTTTCAAACTATTAATTGGAGAAAAAAACTTTGTCATTAAAAAATTATAGGGAAAACATTGAAATTTGATAGCCTTTCGCCTGATACGGAAATGTTTATAAAAATAAACAATATTAATGAAAATATTGCACAAGAATACATAAATAGTGATGTACATTTATAATTTTCAAGTAATAATTGGTTTGTATTGGTGATTTGAGTCAATCGATAGTATGATATTTAAAAATTCTTGAAAAAAAGTGACAAAATTCTTTATTTGCAAATATCTTGAAAATAATTGTAAATTTTGCAAAACATTTTGAAATACTTACTAATATGTAAAATGAAAGTCAAATTGTACAAAACTAAATCTTTTAAAATTGATTAAAATAAGTATTAAATATATTTTTTGTTCTGTATAAATTGAAATAATAATAAATATTTAGTTTTCTTAACATTTATCTCGAACAACAATTAAAAAAGAATTTTCATTTTATAATTTAGGGATATATTTTAATTATTAAAAATTTACATTTGACCAAATGTTGTAATATAAAATATTATTGTTGTAATTTACTAGAAAAAATTTCATAAGGTAACCTCCGTTACAAATTTTCTTGAAAAAAAGATTCTTCTTCTCTATTTTGATTATTGACTAAATTAGTTTTATTTTTTTTATTTATTACTGATTTACAATATTATTAATTAATGATTAAAAAAAAATTACAACCATAAATTATCAGTATTTATATTTTAAGTAACTAAATTTTTGAAGAATTGTATTTAAAATTATTATTGATAGTAAATACAGCAAAAAATTTTAGATACAGATTTTAGATATATTTAAATTTTGAGATTTCGAGTTAAGTTTTATAAGGAATAATTGAATTTTAGGAAATTTCACTTCTTTTAAAGGTAAGTTTTATTATTACAATTTTTATATTATTATAAAAAAAATATTTACATTTTTATTAATAAATTTTTAAAAATAAATTTGCAATAACGTAATTTACAACAATTGACAAAAATAAATAATTTTATCTATAATTTTTTTTTTACAAAAATTATTTCATTCAAACAATTTGAATATAAATATGTTTATATTTTTGTTAATAAATTTTTTTCAAATAAATTTGCAAGCACTTAATTTACAACAATAAATAAAAATAAATAACTTTATCTACAATTTTTTTTTTACAAAAATTATTTAATTAAAAAAATTTTAATATTTAACAATTGTAATACTTACATTTTTTTTTTAGATTTTTAATTGAAGGATTTATTTAATAATAAAATAATATATAATAATAATGATATTTTTTCTATTTATAAATCCTTTTTTTTAATTCATCACAATGTTTCTGGAAAAATAATCGTAATAATAATTTATTTCAAAAAATAATATTATAATACATTTAATAACCTTCAAATAGAAATATAATTTAAAACATTTATTCACTATATTTTATTTATTTATAATTATCATTTATTATCAATAATAATGAAATGAAATATTAATTTTATTATTTAATATTCAAACTTTGGCGCGAGAAAGAAATAGCAACTACTGACCTCTACATCTACTTTACCGACAAGTTAAAAATATAGCAGGGATGAGAATGTATGATGCAAAAGTTAAATTATGACCAATGAGAGTTCTGCTATACTTATGTTCTGTTGAATGGAAATTCTGTCAGATAAAATTTCTGTTAAGTGACATTTCTGTTAGATAAAAATTCTGTCCAATCAAACGTCTGTCAAATGAAAAGTCTGTTATATGAATCGTCTGCCGTGTAAAAATTCTATCCAATGAGAGTTCTGCTATACTTATGTTCTGTTGAATGGAAATTCTGTCAGATAAAATTTCTGTTAAGTAACATTTCTGTTAGATAAAAATTCTGTCCAATCAAACGTCTGTCAAATGAAAAGTCTGTTATATGAATCGTCTGCCGTGTAAATATTCTATCCAATGAGAGTTCTGCTATACTTATGTTCTGTTGAATGGAAATTCTGTCAGATAAAATTTCTGTTAAGTGACATTTCTGTTAGATAAAAATTCTGTCCAATCAAACGTCTGTCAAATGAAAAGTCTGTTATATGAATCGTCTGCCGTGTAAAAATTCTATTCAATGAGAGTTCTGCTATACTTATGTTCTGTTGAATGGAAATTCTGTCAGATAAAATTTCTGTTAAGTGACATTTCTGTTAGATAAAAATTCTGTCCAATCAAACGTCTGTCAAATGAAAAGTCTGTTATATGAATCGTCTGCCGTGTAAATATTCTGTCCAATGAGAGTTCTGCTATACTTATCTTCTGTTGAATGAAAATTCTATCAGATAAAATTTCTGTTAAGTAACATTTCTGTTCGATAAAAATTCTGTCCAATCAAACGTCTGTCCAATGAAAAGTCTGTTATATGAATCGTCTGTCATGTAAATATTCTGTCCAATGAAATTTCTGTTATATAAATTTCTGTCAAATGGCATTTCTGTCATATGAAGTTTAGGGGATTTTCATGCGACTCTTGCAAAGATGCATGAGATAAGGCCTATGCACAACTACGGTAAGTACGCAATTCGGATACGGGATGGCCGTTTCCGAATTAGGGTACGGTCACACTATTAGGCTCTGTCACTTGTGACGTCAGAGTCGATTCTAGGTGTGACGACAGAGGCCTGGAGGGACAATAAACAGACGACACAATGTTATTCTTATGGGGAAGAAAATTAGTTTCCACTTTCATCAATTTTATTCATAATTTAAATATAAAAAACGCTTGTTGACATATAATAAAATTAAAATGTGTGTTGATAATTAATTTTGTTATATATTTGATTCAATTGCATTGATAGATTCTCTGAATTCGTGATAAAATATAAATTTTGAGGTTAGAGGTGTTTGTTTACTAACTTGAAATCTTTTACTGCTGCGGTAATTCCCACTTAAAATATATATTTTATATCTTTTTAAGGGGAGGGACCGCTGAAATTTTAACACATCAAAATTAAAGCTGCTTAAGGGTGGTCAATTTTTTTTCTGACAATATTAATTATTTAAATGTATAATATATCATGAAAAATTGAAAAACTATAAATTTGTTAATAATTTTTAAAATCAAATTCAAAATTCTCGAAAATTTAAAATTTTAACTTCTCTCACAATTTTAATTATTTTTGACTGCCGATTTTTTTATACGCTTATTTCATGATTCTAAACAATCAAGCGTATGGATTTTGAAAAATTTCAATTTTTTCAAAAAATCAAAATGTTGAAAAATAAAAATATTTGTAAAATTGTTAAAAATTACCTTTTGTTGTTTTTCTCAGTAGAATAAGATTTTTGGTTGAAAAAAAATGTTGAAAAAAATTATTACCCCTAAACAAGATCAATTTTGATTGCTTTCAATTTTAGTGGTAATTTTGAAAAAAATTCAACTACTTCCACAATTTTCATTATTTTTTATTGTCGAATTTTTTTTACGCTTTTTTCACGATTTTAAACAATCAATCGTATGGAATTTAAAAAAATTTAATTTTTCCAAAAAATAAATTTTCTAAAATGGCTAAAAAATTTTTTTTTTAAATTTTAATAATTTATAATAATTTTGGATCCTAAATTATGCCAGAAAAAAAATTGACACTCTTTAACAATAATAACTTCAGTAGGCTGAAATTTCACCGGTCCCTCCCCTTAATAACATGCATACTGGATATTGTTTAATAATGTTGTTAAAATGTAAAATGTGATTAGTAAACAAACACCCCTAACCTCAAAATTTATATTTTATCACGAATTCAGAGAATCTATCAATTCAATTGAATCAAATATATAACAAAATTAATTATCAACACACATTTTAATTTTATTATATGTCAACAAGCGTTTTCCATGTTTAAAGAATATGAATGAAGTTGATGAAAGTGGAATCAAATTTTCTTCCCCATAAGAATAACATTGTGTCGTCTGTTTGTTGTCCCTCCAGGCCTCTGACGTCCAATCTTGAACTCGAAATATCTCGATGAACTGTCACAGCCTAATCTCAGGCATGCAGAAATATTTAGCCGGTCACAGTTCAACGAAATCTAGTGAATGTGTAGTAAATTTCTAGTTACAACCGAAATTTTTGAAAAATGACTAGAAAGTTACTAAACATTCACTAGATTTCGTTGAAGTGTGACCGACCAAATGTTTCTACATGCATGAGATAGTGTGACTGCACCCTTCGGATTTTTAGCTAACTTTTGATAAAGTATATACTCGGGAAGAATGCAGTGTCCTTTATTTCGCACGGAAAAATAAGGACACTGCATACTTCCCGAGTATACACTTAATTAAAAGTGCGACAAAAATTCTAATTCAGAAACAGCCGTGCCCTAAGGCTGCAGTCCCATGGCAGCGTTTTGCGTTGCGTTTTGTCACTAGACCCTGAGTGTAAACATAGCAAACATATATCTGCATCTCTTTTACACTCATGGTCTAGTGACAAAACGCAACGCAAAACGCTGCCATGGGACTGCAGCCTTAGCCAGAGGTGGGTACGTATAATACGTGACGTATTATACATGGTTTTATACAGTATCATACGTACGTAATATACGAGAATATTTCGAAAATAAGAGGGAGTAGTGGGTTTCCTACGTATTTTACATGATGTATAATACATAGTATTAAGCCCTGAGCAGAATAGAAACGTAACCGGAATCGTAAACGAAACCGGAAGAATGAGTTAGAGAAGAACAAACAATATGTCTATCCTTCTCTAACTCATTCTTCCGGTTGCGTTTGCGAACACGATTCCAGGTACGTTCTATTCTGCTCAGGCCTTTATACGTAGAAAACCTCCAGAAAAGCACTCTTACCCATTTCAGCCCTAATGGTGCGTCTCCAAAAAGTATTCGGAACCTAAAAACATTCCTAAACGTAGACTATGACGTCACCAACGCGACGTATACGCAACGCTTATTCTTAGGGTCCAATTAGAGACGCACCATAAGGCCCGTCCAGAATAGATCAAAAATATGAACGTGAACGTAACGTATCCATTTAAAGTTGGTTCTACAATAAGCGCGTCGGACGTGCACGCGAACGTGTTCCTAATAAGAAAGAGGGGTACGGAGATATACATCTATACCCCTCTCTCTCATTAGGTACACGTTCACGTCCACGTCCGACGCGCTTATTGTAGACTTAACTTAATGCTGACTCTACATTGGCTGCGTAAACGTGTACGTGAACGTGCTGACGTCACCCATTTGAATAACATTGTGACGTCAGCACGTTCACGTTCACGTACACGTTTGCGCAGCTAATGTAGAGTCAGCATAAGGTTGAGCCCAGAATAGGCCAAAATCATGAACGTATACGTAACGTCACAATGTATTTTAAATGGATACGTTAAGTCGGTTCTACAATGGGCACGTTTGTACGCGAACGTGTACGTTCCGTGCTGACGTCACCCATTTGCGGAACATTGTGACGTCAGCACGTTCACGTTCGCTTACAAACGTGCCCATTGGAGAACCGACTTTACATTCACATTACGTATACGTTCATGTTTTTGGTCTGTTCTGGACGGGGCCTTATGGAGCATTTACACCTTTGGTAAAAAAAATTTTTTATTTTGATTTTCGGAAATGCAAAGATCTGATTGGTTGTCCATTATCAATCAGATTGTGAACAACCAATCAGGTTTGTGTATTTCGGAAAATTCAAAAATAAAAAATTTTTTTACCAAAGGTGTAAATGCTCCGTTAGGGTGAAATCGCATTGAGACGTACAGCGTCGGCCGAAAACGTACCCAATATGAGTGAAAGAGACAAAACGATATCACTATCTCTGTCACTCTCATAGTTTACGCTTTCCGCCGAATTGGAATCGCACCTTTACGATTTCAATGTGTGTTAGCCTATTGTGTATGGATGTAGCATAATTTCACAACCATATTTGTAAGATTGACATGTGATTTGTTGGTTATGTTTTTGTATGCAATTATTTTATTTTCTTACTCAAAAAAATCTCAAACAATAATAATATGGACGAGTCAGATGCATAAAGTTTAAATAGTTTTCTTTAACTTGTGTACATTTAATAGTAAAGTTTTCACTAAAAGTATGTTTTTTGTTCATTAATTAAACGTAACTTTATTTTATATTGAATTTATAGTTTTGTAGAAAATAAATATGATTGAAGTAAGTGATGAATCTTTAGAAAGCTCTGACGAAGACATTTATACAAATGCAGTCGCTAGATTTAAAGGTGCGTTTTTTTACACATGTTTGTATTTTGATATTGATGAAAATATGTATTTTTAAAAATCCTTTTTATGTGGTTATATAAAATTGTCTGAATAATATACAACATTACTTGAAAATGTAATTATAATCAAATGTGAGACTGTTTTATAACCTGTTAAAAACGGTTATGGTTCATTTATATCACGGTAAATGTAAACAAAATATCTGATTTAAGATCAGTTTTATCAACTCTGATTAAAAGTTAATCAGTGATTAAAGCCATTTTAATCACTTATGATTGGTCGGTTAAGAATTTTATCACTGATTAACTCTTAATCGGAGTTGATAAAATTGGCCCTTAATATTTAATTTTGTGACCCGCCATATTAGATCCGCCATTTAAAATTTTTGAAATCCGTTTTGATATTCGTATACAGCAACTCTAAGCAACATGTTTCCAAGGAAATCCCAGATAGTGCGGAAACTTACAGCAAGCTTGCTGCAAGCTTGTCTGAACTAGAGAAATGTCCCACCCAGGGCAAGCTTGCCATGAAAGATTGCTACAAGATTGCTGCAAGCATACTAAGAATGATTGCGGCAAGCTTGCCGTGAAAGATTGCTGTAAGCTTGCTACGTAAGGTTGCAGGAGAATTTCAACAAGCTTCTGAAAAGGTTGCTGCAAGCTTGCTGAAATTTTTAAAAAATACATTTTAAATTAAAAAAAATTCATTTGTTTTTTAAATTTGAAAATCCTTGTGACGTTTATTATTATTAATTATGTCCCGTTTATTTTCATTTGGAAACTTAACGAGAAAATTTTCGAAACAAATTTGAGGGGACTGGGAATTGAACCCGGGTTCGACAGACACTAACCAAAGACCCTAACCGAGAACCTACTCGACCAACTATCAGAGAATAAAAAAATCTTGCTCTTAACCCTCGTTTTTCAACTGTTTTTCAACTCATAAAAACAGTCAAGGGTTAAGAGCAAGATTTTTTTATTCTCTGATAGTTGGTCGAGTAGGTTCTCGGTTAGGGTCTTTGGTTAGTGTCTGTCGAACCCGGGTTCAATTCCCAGTCCCTTCAAATTTGTTTCGAAAATTTTCTCGTTAAGTTTCCAAATGAAAATAAACAGAACATAATTAATAATAATAAACGTCACAAGAATTTTCAAATTTAGAAAACAAATAAATTTTTTTAAAATTTTAAATGTATTTTTTAAAAATTTCAGCAAGCTTGCAGCAACCTTTCCAGAAGCTTGTTGAAATTCTCCTGCAACCTTACGTAGCAAGCTTACAGCAATCTTTCACGGCAAGCTTGCCGCAATCATTCTTAGTATGCTTGCAGCAATCTTTCATGGCAAGATTGCAGCAACCTTTCCTGGAAAGCTTGCCCTGGGTGGGACATTTCGCTAGCTCAGACAAGCTTGCTGCAAGTTTCCGTGCTATCTGGGAGCCGATTAATTTCACAAGCCTGCATCAATTCGGGAAAGTGAATGCGACTAGGTGTTTCCGAAGGGAATTTTTGGACTGAACACGAATCCGATTTCCAAAATGTTCCATCACGTCAAATTTTTAAGAAAAATTGGGTTGAAACCACTAAATACAAAGTTTTTTTACTTCACAGTGTTTCCTCTATTTTTCCTCTATTTTAAAAAATTACCCTTTTTCCCCTTTTTTATGAATATTTCCTCTTTTTGTCACTCATTTCCCCTTTTTTATTTTGAAACTCGAATAATGGGATATTTGATAAAAATCCAAATTTGAACCAAAAAATTACAAGTCTCGAATTACACCACTTTTTTTACTTTTATCGACTTTTTGCAATGAATGCGACTAATTCGACTTATTTTTATAAAATTTAACTTTTTCGATTTTTTTTTACACAAAATATACTTTCATCAAAATTTCCTGATAATTTTATTATTTAAAACACTTTCCCAATACAAATTTTTCTAAAATTTAGTTATTATCTAAATCTTATAATATTCAGCAATTTAAATTTACGAAAATTTTGATTAAAAATCTCCTGAAATTCAATTGTTTTCAACAATAATTGTAACTGCAACTATTTGAAAATTTAATAATTTTTCAAATTTTTAACTTAAATTCTTTGAATTAATTGATAACTTTAATCAAACAGGGTTGCCACGGACCTGGAAAACCTGGTATTGTCATGGAATTTTTTTTCAGTCATAGAAAACCTTCAAAACCTGGAATTGTCAGGAAATTTTATCAAATCTCGTTCTAAAAATTTAATTTCCAGTATGTGAATCGAAAAATCTCAAGTTTTCAAGTTGTCATTACAACTTTTCGGTTTTAAATTTAGTACACGGAGAAACTTTAGTTTATAAAATTTGATATTATAATACTAAGTTATACAAAAAGCCAATAATAAACGAGGATATAACGTTACCTTTGTGAAAATTACTATTTAAATATTATACTGAGTGAGTATTCTTAATTTGGAAAGAGTAATATAATAATTATGGATTTATATTTCTAAACAGTAGGAAATTTTAATAAAAAAATAGGAAACTGAAGTTGTTGAATCGTTGAAAACGAGCTTTATAAATATATTAATAACTGAAAAAGAATTATGAGATTTACAAAAACTATGGTAAATATTCATCCCGTGTGAAAATAAAATTACTATAGTATTTTGGGAATATTGACATAAAAGTTAAAAAACCCTCCACAATAATAGAAAAAAATTACTACTACATACTAAATTTTACCATAGTCGATATTAAATGTTCCAAGTTTCACCTTCAAATATCACAGTAAACATATTATATATACTCACACATATTACATACACAGGTTTACAGTGAAATTGTCGCTCGAACAAAACATTTTTTTTCGATTAATATGTGTTTTTTGAATAAGAAAATCATTTTTAAATTTATTTCCCTCGTGCAATTTTTTTGTAACAGCAAAATTATGCATTTTCCAAGAGTGACGTCTCTTAAAGTCACCGGTAGAGAAAGCAGTTAATCTAAATTTAAAAAATAAATCATCTTTTGAAAGATAATTAAATTACCTTTCAAACCATTGATTAACCAATAAAATCCATTCAAAATTGTCAGAGTTACAGTCGATCAAAGTTCAAATTTCAAGCAAGTTTTAATGATTTTTAGACATTCGTCTAACTTTCGCTAATTTTTTCAAAGTCAAACAATCAAAAAAAGGCAAGATTTAAATTTTTTATTAATAGTATATTTAATTATGAAACTTTTAAGCCTTTATAGACCTCGATCGGATAAAAAATGACAATTCTACATTAGATTTATTGAACAAAGTACTTTCTCACTTTAAATATATTTTCAAGTGATTTCGATCTATATCAGTTTTGTATAAAACTAAGTTAAGCGAAGCTCACCAAACTGAGTACTCGGGGGTTTTCGGGGCGCTGATTACGAATTCGAGGTCAGTTTTTGAAAATTCATTTCTAATTATTAAAATTTTGTCCGCGATATTGGATCCGCCATTTTGAATTTTCAATAACTGACCTCGAATTCGTAATCAGCGACCCCGAAAACCCCCGAGTACTCATTTTGGTGAGCTTCGCTTAACTTAGTTTTATACAAAACTGATATAGATCGAAATCACTTGAAAATATATTTAAAGTGAGAAAGTACTTTGTTCAATAAATCTAATGTAGAATTGTCATTTTTTATCCGATCGAGGTCTATAAAGGCTTAAAAGTTTCATAATTAAATATACTATTAATAAAAAATTTAAATCTTGCCTTTTTTTGATTGTTTGACTTTGAAAAAATTAGCGAAAGTTAGACGAATGTCTAAAAATCATTAAAACTTGCTTGAAATTTGAACTTTGATCGACTGTAACTCTGACAATTTTGAATGGATTTTATTGGTTAATCAATGGTTTGAAAGGTAATTTAATTATCTTTCAAAAGATGATTTATTTTTTAAATTTAGATTAACTGCTTTCTCTACCGGTGACTTTAAGAGACGTCACTCTTGGAAAATGCATAATTTGCTGTTACAAAAAAATTGCACGAGGGAAATAAATTTAAAAATGATTTTCTTATTCAAAAAACACATATTAATCGAAAAAAAAATGTTTTGTTCGAGCGACAAAAAAAATTTGAAAATTGTAAACCTGTGATATTCTTGAGGAACGCACGCTTTTAATACAATACTAATATAAATAACTTATTCTAATAATAATACACACATTTACATAATCGTCGCAATAATTATATGCTTGAGAAAAAAGGGAACTTCTTCATATACTAAACAACAAAAAGTATTGCCGCTTGCGAGAGAACTTCTACAAATATGTTATATACCTATGTAAATCTAATTTAATATTTTAAATATATTAATTAAAATATTAATTATTAATATAAATAAAGTGTTACTTATATTGGTTGGTATCTATCAGCGTTTTCGCCCCTCTTGATCTATCAGCTGTTTAGTTTTTCGTGTCAGCGTGCCATGAACATGTGTTCTGGCAGTTTTTCTGCGTGAGGATCTGCGCATGTTTGTGCCGCCTAAGGGCCCGATTGTCAGCGTCGTTATCTAGGTTTTCCGGGGAGCTGCCGCCAAATCGTCCAGGGAGAAGGATGGAGCGATAGGGGTGACGAGGAAAAGGGATAGCGCGTCCCTCTTAACAGATTAGGAGATCTAGGGGAAGTTGGCGTCAATAGTCAGTCGATTTTGGATCGTATTGAGAGGAAGACCCTTTCGCGGGACTCATAATTTATTATCGCGTTATACGCTTAATTATTCTTTAAATATTGAATTTGTTAAATAAATCTTTATTCGTTGTTAACTAAATGTGTGTTATTTGTCGTTATCATATTTTGTATTTATCATCGTCAGTCAACGTCGTCTTAGTGTCGGCATTTCAACGTTGCTGAGTTCTTTTATGGTTAATCTTGTTCTGGGATCATCAATGCACCGATGGTTCGACTTGGTCGGAATCTCCCTTTGGTATTTTTCAGAGTAATTTGAGATAAGTATTTAGCGTTCGATTAATGTGGACGGTGCAA